CCAAGGACTACAAATGCTTGCAAATACGGTAAGAGGTCTCTCGCAATCACTATTGAGAACTGTATACTCGGCTTGTGTCCGCAGTGTAATGACATACGCAAGCCCCGTTTGGTGGACGGGCGTGAAAACCCATGCAAACATGCTTACCCGCGTCCAAAACAAATCCCTTAGACATATCTGTGCCGCTTTCCGAACCACCCCAATAAAGGCCCTAGAAATAGAGACATCAATCCCCCCCATCAACCTCTTCCTCGAACACGCAAACGATAACGCCGCCACTCGACTACTCAAACTCCCCTCGTTCAACCCAATCCTACAGAGACTTGATCAACCCTGGCGACAATTTAACCTCGCTGACCCCCCACCCGCTCTTCCCACCGACAAATACCGTCCTCGCAGCCGCAAACCACCAAAATCGACCAGACTCACCCGTCTGTCAAAACGAGCATCCCCGAACGCGGAACGCATCAACATATTTGCGCTGCCACCTTGGGCAAACACGAAGGAAACGTACCGCGGCCGCCTAACGATCTCGGACAAGCAAAGAGGAGGCAAGAAAGAAGCCGCCAAAGCGCACATACAAACCGCTCGTAATCTACGAACGGAGGACACGCACCTTCTCGTTTACTCAGACGGATCGAAACAATCAGTCAGAGAGGAGGAAAGAGCTGGAGCAGGATGGGCCGGCTATCACAGAGGAAGAGAAGTCTTCTGGGGTCAGGAAGGAATGGGTCCCAAAGCAGAGGTGTATGATGCAGAGATGGTAGCGCTCCTTCGAGCAATATCGCGAGCTATCAGCTTCGCGCAAAATTCCCAGGTGACCCATTTACATTTCTACGTCGATAACAACTCTGTGGTGCAGGCTGCATATGCAGCTGCACCCGGACCCTCACAATACATTGCATTACAGATCAGACGCTCGATCGAAGACTACCTAACCACATCCCCCCTCCATCATGTCCAAATTGCATGGATCCCAGGACATCACAACATCATCGGCAACGAACGTGCCGACGAGCTTGCAAAAGAAGCCACTGGACGTAACGACTCGTACCACTCGACCTATGCAAATGCGCGCCGAAGAAACAAGGAAGGGATCTTGCAGAAATGGACAGAGAGTTGGAATAGAGACGTGGCAGCACAGACTGGACGCTTCGCTCTCGCAAATCGACTCCCACCAACGCTCAAACCCCGCCAACATTTCACTCACACTCCTCGAGAAGTATACGGCCGTCTTATACAATGCCGCACAGGACACGGATTCATGGGAGAATACTACGCTGCATTCGTTCCAACCGAACCCACCCTCTGCCCATGTGGAGAACCACGTCAAACACGAGAACATATCATACGTGACTGCCCACTATTTGCGCGACAACGCATCCATCTGCGTGAGGTATCACACAACATCATACTCAACGAAATTTTGGGTACGGAGAAGGGCATAAAGGCACTAGCGAAGTTTATTCAAGAATCCAGCGCATTCAAGAAGGTCGCACTGGAACGAGAAGGAGACTGGGAAGAAAGGAGAGGGACAGAAGCCTGAGTAAGGGCAAAGAAGGAAGTGACGAGGGAAGGAGGAGACGAGGAGAGATCAGAAGGAGGAGGAAGGAGAGAAAGTGTATCATATTATACTAAGCCTGGACACCAAACGAGCCCACACGCACACCAAAACTCATCAAACGCGGACCGCTTGGCTATTCGTACTATACCTACATCCCTCACCCTGTTACAACACTCCCCAGCACAGCCCTAACAGGGCACCGCGTCTTAACAGCTCACTTTGTTTGTTGCGGTATATAAATATAGAATTTCTCTCTCTCTCTCTCATATCATCTGGGTGTACTCGCGTCTGAAAGAATGCGTTAGTCATATCAATTTTTCCAAAAAACTTTCCTTTAGCGCAGTCCTTCAGAATCTCGTCAATACGCGGCAATGGATGGTTGTCTGCGACAGTATTGTCGTTCAACAGTCGGAAGTCATTAACCCATCGTGGCAAGACAGTTGGGTCTGCCTTCGGTATAATAAACGACGGCGACGACCACTCACTCTCAGAATGGCGCAAACGCCCACTGTCAAGATGTGAGTCCAACAGGGTTTTCCAGGCAGCGCGATACTTCTTCGGACAGTCATAAGAGCGCTGTTGAACAATTTTATTAGCATCTTTCAGATGGATGCGAAACAAAACTTCAGATGGCATTGTGTCGTTGTGTGGAATATCGGTCGGAAAGCGATCTTTGAACTCCGCTTTCAGCTTGGCGTCCAATGCACTCAATTCATCTTGATATTCGAGCATGGTGATGCGTGATTGCACAGCGGCCACAAGATCAACTCCCTTTACTGGCTCGCATTCGTCGTCAACAATAGCTTTGAGTTCCAGTAAGACAGACTTGAGTTCGTTGACAACATCATGCTTCATCCAAAATAATTGAGGGCCTGACGGCGAGATCCGCTGAGAAGACACAACAGCTGCGGGAGGATGAAGAAGGTCATAGTTCAGGTCCTTTACAATGCAGGTACGCAGCTCGTGGTCAATCACGATGCGATTATGTTCGAGGAATGGGCCTCCAAGTAACAGGGGAGTACAAAGATTCGGTGCGATTATTGCACGTACAGTCCGAGACGTGTATTTCTGATCGAGAGACGAACAAGACAATTTGACATATTGCGAGAGAAGAAAGGAATTATCGTGAGACAATGCGAGCGAAACAGGTAACGGTTTTGATAGTTGGCGACGGCGTAGTCCAAGTTTGTCGACAAGTGCTTCATCAATCAGAACTAGAGAAGAACCATGGTCAATGAGAGCGGATACAACAACAGAAGAAGAAACAGCAGGCCCATCAACGAGACAGTCCCAACGCAGATGAGGGGTCTGTAGCGGAGCCACGCACTCTTCGCCAGAGTCAGTACCATCACCGAGCACTGCTGACGGCATCACAACTGCGATAGTGTGTCGTTCTTCAACATCAACCGCTGCAACAACTTCACCCGTCTTCTTCGGCTTCTTCGAAGCGATCAGAGCAGCTGTAAGGGTTTTATATGATGCGCCATCTGGGAAGCCTTTCGGGCAAGTGGCGGATGTGTGACCTGCGAAAGGTTCGCGACACTTGAAGCATCCATCGTTGTCCCGAAGGAGTTGGCGCTCGTTATCTGTGAGAGAGGGTAGGCGTGTAAAGGTCTTTGCGGAGGTGGTGGTAGAGGCACTAGTAGCTTGCCCTGCCTTCGCATTGAAACGTGTGCCCGCAGTGAGCTTCTTCTCCCCGCTCGAGCGTGCACGTTCCATGCGCAAGGCAGCATCTACAGCCTCTCGCTGCCGAACAAGATAGCGCATTCGCTTCTCGTCGAGCAAGCGTACCTTCTCAATCCACTTGCATAGATCCGTTTCGGTAATGTGTTCAGCATGGTAATCAGCAGCGAGTTCGGAATTCATGTGGGACTCAAGGTGATACTGGATATTGACTTCTGTAAGATGAGATGCCGTCCCACGCAAGAGGGTGTTCTGACTCTGGACGTCAACTGCCCACTCGTTGAAGGGGCGATGTCCCTGAGTAGATCCCAGCATCTTGCGTCGGACAATGTCGGACCAACCCGAAGGGAGCCAGTAGCTGCGGACTTCAGCCATATACTCTGCAAAGGTGAGCTTGTCAATTCGCTCGCGGTCGTTAATGTACCAGTCCTGGATAACCGCCTCTTGCATTCCCCAAGCAACCTTCTTTACCATTTCCTCGTCCTTCACCTCCTTGTGCAGAAAGAACTGCGTGCAACCCATTTCCCAGGAGCGTAGTGCCTCTGGAGTCAGCTCGCCCGCTGTGAGAAGGGGCGGCTTACTCGCGGCTGTCTGTTCAACACGTGCAACCTTCGGTGTGGTTGACATGGTAGGTGTGTTGTAGGCGTGGGGATCGGTAGAGTCAGAATCGGTGGATATATGCGTGTTGACTCGCGAATGGGAGCAAGAAGTCAAGGGGGATGGTTGCGAGGGCGAGTTCGGAGAGGTGGGTGGTGTTGTTAATGTAGACGTTGTAGATGTGGTCACTGGTTGGATATCAGCGAGCACCGCTAGAAGTTTGTCACGACTGCGCGTTGTGACAGACAGCGGTATCGGTATCTTAGGGCGGTGGGGAGGCAGTTTGTTGTCTATACGGTGATGGGTTGACCGGCGGTCAATACCCAACGGTTGGTTCGAGAGAACGGTAAGGATAACAGTAAGGAAAAGACGTAACGGTTCTTCAACAGATAACGCTCAGCTGGACGTTAAAAAAAAGTGGAAGGTCGTCACAGTAGACGATCAACACTAGCGGACAATCAGACAGCGGTAACGTGGATGAGCGTATGGGATTCGGTGATACGGTACGAGATAAGATATCGATACATCAGCGGTGAGCTATATATACTGAATGAGCGTTAGCAGCCAAACACCGACAATTATGGCACGGTGTCCAATCAACGAAGGGCGCGTTAATCACATGAAAGTAAGCGCATGCTTACAAGTAAGGGTCATTCATACTCGTCAACCTGACCATCTCTTCCAAATTGAAATCGAATTCCTTCATTAGATGTAGAACAGCCATTTCAGCTGATGTTCGATCAGTACCGGGAGACTACCTGCAGGTAGAGATGCCGGCTCGTTGCAATTGCTGCAGCACAAGGTATCTTCAATCTTTGCCCATTCTGACTCCAATTGCTCCCAGTTGACGCTTTCACGCTCACATTTTCTTCCTGTGCTAAATGACTAGTATGAACAACAAATAGCAAGGACAACCTCGATAAGAACGGCAAGGCTAGGTCAGCATCGCAGGACGCTCTGAGACTTGCATGACCGTTCTAGCAGCCTGGCCCATCGTGGACCACCTTTGCTGACGACCGACCACGACATTCCCAGCTGTCCAGGTCCTATAATCCGACGGTTCTGCAGTGTGGGACGATACCGTGACCTTGTAAAACCTTTTAAAGAGCTTGCGGACGCGATTCCAGTACTCATCATATCACCAGATGCGTTACCTATGTTCGAGCTCGGCCGAATGCTATGCCGTGGAGAACTCATCGGAAAACTCAAAACATTGTTGGATGAGCCTTTCGGTGCGTTTCCCCATCCATGCACATCTACTAACTTGTTGTAGATCTATCCTTTCAGCCCATCTGTGACGTCCATGCCTCTCTCACACTCAAAGCCCCTGTTATGCTCGCTTGCGGAAACGAGGATGCTGTACTACGTGAAGTAAGTGACGCTAGCCCCCGTTCTGTCGTTTCTGCTGAAAGACAAACTGCAGTCCATTGTTTTATTCCGAGATTGGTTGGCTCGCATGTACAGCACACACCCAATTCACCAGATACACGAAAACCAACAGTGTCTCTACCCTGAATGATCCTGTGGAGTATTTTCAGTGTGTTCTGGACCAGTTTCTTGTCGGCCATCCTGTCCACCCAGCCGCTCTCACAAACCTTGCGCGAGCCCGCCTTTAAGACTATATTCGAAAAGACATTCAAGATGCTGACTCTACTACTTCCTTATTCTGCGACGCCCTTTCATTACTCGCTTCATCGATCTCGAATATATTCCCGAGGAGCGTCTGTGATATCACTTCAGAATGTCGGAGTCGGACCGTATCCCAACGCAGGTCAATGATAAACGAACCTGTAAATGCTTTTTTCGGCGTGCTAACTTCATGGAACCGTACCGAAAGTATGCATCGTCATTTATAAGGGACACGTATTCATTCGGGGCCTGCTTCGCCAACGAACGAACGTCGAAATGACTACTCAACAGATGGGGAGATCCAGTGTTCCGTTCGTAGGGCCTGCATGGTGGCGGCTTCTTGGCTCACGTCAGGCTGATGAATTTGGTAGATGAAGGAGCCCTAGACTTGCCCTTAGTAGTGATAACGAGATATGCAATTCACATTAGCATACATGCAGGGACTGGGCAGTCCTGACGGGATTCTGGCTGTATCTTCAAAAGCGATATCGTGATCAATCATCTCCGTCAAGTAGAAAGTTACGTCCCCGCGAGGTTTGTCCGAAGCAGACAAAACGCTGCCCAAGATGTGACGCGACGACTCGGTACTGATCATGAAATAGCAACACAAGAAAGGGGGTGGTTCGAACCACGAACGATGAATTGATGGTACCAAAAAATTGAAACTGTTGGGCATGAAAGGTGAAAGCACATGCGAATGACGGCCAAAGCGGAAACTAATAAAATGCAACGAAAATGTATACTAAAGGCTCTCTGAACCACAAACCATCCTGGCCTGCCTTCAACCCAAACCCCTGCTCCGTTCTGACCCGTGTTCCAGTAGTGATCCAGTGAACTCTAGGGCAACTTAATCATGGGGAATGAGCTAAATTTTGAATCATCGAGGGAACAAGAAACACAGCGAGCAAAGTAACTCACTGCAACTTCCACGGGCAATTCTTTCCTCAGATACTCGTCGATCTTCTCCCAAATACTCGCCTGCATTTCACGCCACTCAGCCTGCCGTTTCTCCTTACAATTCTTGCACCAGTCGTCCGTCCACTTCACGTTTATCAACGCCGCTAGTCCGCACAGTGGATCGTACCGATACCGGGTGAAAGTCCCTGAGTCATGCACAAGCCGAACCCACGCCTCGCGTCTTGCTGTCTCCGAGAAGCATGAGAGGCAGTTGCGTGCCACACCAACAGAGGTGGTAGAGTCTGAGGTTCTTGTGCTACTGCTGGATTGTGCAACACGAAGGTTTTGACAAACCAAGGTAGGATCTTCGCGCGTAGCTACCTGAGCCCACGTGTCTCCCAGATACTCTCTCATCCGGACAAGGCGCAACATATCCGCATGGCTGAATTTCTCTGCTTCCTCAAGCTTATCCAGACCGAATCCAGATGTCCTTGCCATATCGTAGAACGCAGGCTTCAACAGCGTATCAATGTTGAACGTTCGTGCGAGGGCAGCCAACTGCGGAGCGTCGGGGCGCGGTTCTGGGTTGACAGGTAGTGCTTCAAGTTTAGACGGCCAGAGTGCTTCCAACTCCTTCACGAGCCAGACGTAGTCGGAAGTAAAACCAAGCGTTATCGCTGCACGAATGAGTGATATTAGGGTGGCGGAGTCGATGTTGTTGCGGTAATCCCTAACCTTTTATTAGCCAGCACAATAAAAACGACCACATGTCAGTAGATACTTGCCCAGGGTTTTCATAATACAAAAGCAGCGCCTCGAAATCTATTGCATTGAGCTTCTCACAAACTACGAATTTTGTCTCTTCAATTTTCTCAGGGAGTAGCTTCGCAATGAATTTCGAATGCTGCGCAAGCCACGATTGATGCACCCTGAAGCTAATACCATCAAGTTCAATGACAGCATTTCCATCTACTAGCCAAAACCGCTCGTGCTTGCGAAGAGCAGGCTTATCGGCGGCTCGTGCGCGTTTAGCCGTTTGCTTGGTGGACTCGGGCCCTGGCGAAAGTTGGCGTTTGGACATTGTGTTTACCATGCTCGTTCTACAGTCTGTGGTCGTCCCGCAAGTTGAGAGGAGACGGGTTCAGGGCCAGCCTGAGGGTTTATATACGTACATGATAATCGATAATCATGCAGCATCGTTTAAAATCGATTTGATTGAGTTGCCTTTTTTGCCGAGTGAAGTCGAATTATGAAGATGGATGTTCATTCTAGTATTTCACGGAAGAAGTTGAATGCATTGATCGATTCATAAACGCTGAGCTAGGGCTTAGTAAGTGCACGTGTCTTTGAAAGATCTTTGCCTCATGCCCCACCTTCCCAGTCCTCGGCACAAGATCTTTATCCATAGGCGGCCATACTGGCCTTTGACATCAGCCACGATCGTAGACAGCGCCGTCGAACGTTTTCGAGCTGCTGGACGAACTCCAGATACTGCTAAGTGAGGTGACGGAACTCTGGGTGGACATTGTCAATCTTCAGTTGAAATTGTCTTACCCAGAGTTCCCTCTCCTGAACATGCTGAGATGCTAACCGAGAGACTGCAAATTTCGCACGTTTGGACCTGTTGAGCTGAGGTTTTAGTAGAGGTGTCCTTCCCTCTCGCGAAAACAACGTCACGTATATGCAGGGTGATGGCCTGTAAATCGACGGTCCTCGGCTTTGCAGTTGAAGGCGGCTGTCATGCTGTCAAATCTTCTTCTTATGTGAGTACCCTCCCTCGTCATCGTCATCGCGACCGATGGGGCTGCGCTTCAGGTAAGTACATTTGTCTGGCCGAGTACTTTCATGTCGGATGATAGTGATTTGCGGCATTCATTGACGGTAGACAAACAAAACACTTCAAGTTGTCGCATTTATCCGTTGGTCGCACGCAAGGTGCCTGACTCGTAGGTCGCTTCCCGTCAGTGCTCAGTAGAGATATTAAGATTTGCAGAAAACGAAGACCCCATTCTTCACCCAACAACACCCACACCTGCTTCTCCAAACAACGCCTGTGTTCTCTTCACCAAAGACTCCTGGAGGCTTAGAGTTGTGGCACGGATCTTACCTCCAGTAAGCTGAACCTCTCTTGTAGAGAGGTATACTAATGATACATCTTGCACAGCATATAAAACTTTGCCGATCCGCTGTTGCAGTTTTTCAAGGTTGCGACGTCGATACTAGACAATGATGCCTTCCCGAGCAACTGGTTGAATCTTGACGCACAGGGTGTTGAACAAGACGATGAATCCTGTAGCTACGCTTTTGACACAGATTTTTATACCTCCGCCGCCGGCGTCGCATCAATTCAAGGCGGAACTGTGGAAGGACGTACCCCTCATATTTGCTGATGCTTTTATCGTCCAAGCAGCTTGTTGTTGAAGATTTCAGTCCCCAGGCACGTACGAGCGTACCTCGATATTATGTATTCTTACGTCGGAATTTAGAAACGGCGTCCTGTACGGTGTTTTGGCGGTGATATTCGATGCGAAGGTGCGGGCTGTGGCTATGGAGGCCCTCGCATGGCTGAAACCGACAGAATTCAGCTGTCTCCCAAGGAGTGCGTATTCCCCCGTGTCCAATTGATATCCAGGGCTACCAAGCTGTACTTAGCTCATTAATCGCTTACATCGTGGCTCTCGTTTTGACTCGATATTGATATTCACAGCTCTTCGTATCTTGTGATTGACAACTGGACCTGCCAGCGCCGTGGCCAATCCTTCTTCATCTCCGGTTCCATGGAAGAAAAAGACCGCGTCCCACTCAAAGCCGGCATCAAACACCATATCCTCGTCGAGTTCTGCAACGTCCGTGCCCCAGCAGACGGTGATGAAGATGAGATGGTGATGGACAGTAACCTTGGTGTTCGACTCGGAGGTGCAGAAGTCATCGATTAGGATGTAAAGATGGTGGAGGCGGTGGAGATTGCCAAGAAGGCTGATGTTGTTCTTGCTATTGTGGGTTTGAATGCGGATTGGGAGACGGAGGGGTATGATCGGAAGATGTTGGGGTTTCCTGGACGGACGGAGGAGTTGATTGAGAAGGTGCTTGCGGTGAGTCCCAATACTGTCGTCGTGACCCAATCCGCGAGTACTTTTGAGATGGGGCGTTTTGGCCGAAAGAACAGATTGTGTGGTTATGCTAGGGTTCGTCGATAACACTTCCGTGGGCTGATTCAGTCACTGCTATCCTTCATTCGTGGTACTTGGGTGACGCGACGAGCGATGCGATTGCGGATGTTCTGTTCGGCAAGAAAACCCCATCGAGCAAGTTGTCCTTGACGTCCCCAAGAAACTGGAAGATGTTTCTGGCTACGAACACTTCCACTCTGAGAATGGCGTCCACCGTCATGGCGAGGATTTGTTTGTTGTGAGTCTATTTTGTGTTCAAGTCCTTTGACAGGGTTACAAGCACTTCCATCAGAGGCATCAAACTACAGCTTTCGTTTGGGTGAGGGGACAGAATCCAGCAGATTGACTGATGGGGCGTCGATAGTCACGGCCTCTCATGCACCACCTTCTCTTACTCGGACCTTCAGCTCTCCGAAGCTATTGTCTCACACGGCAAATTCGGCTTCAACGCCAGCGTCACAGTCACCAACACCGGCACCCTCGCAGGCTCCGAAGTCGTACAATTATATGTCTCGATGCCCACCACATCCGAGCTGACGCACCTGCCATTGCTCCTACAAAGCCAAACACTTGCAGCTGGGGCAGAGCGAGAAGGTGATGCTGACGCCGTTTTGGGAGGAGAGGATTGATAGGTGGGCTGTGGAGAACGGCGTGTATGGTGTTAAGGTAGGGAGTAGCTGTGATGAGTTGTTGTCGGAAGGGGGCTTTGTGGTTGAGAAAGGGTTTGAGTGGAATGGGTTGTAGTGATGCGGAAGAACTTTCTGATATATTTCTAAGACGACAGACAATGCAGCCTGAGGGCTCACTATCGTTTGAATACCGTAGCCGCGCACCAGGAAAAAAACGTTGAATATATCAAGGCCTCTCGTAAACGACGGTACTACTGCTACTTACTGCATCGAAAAAATACTGAGTGAAGCATGCAGAAGTCATTTGTGATAAGTACATCGGATATCTGAAAATGTCATGCCAGAGAACAAAACGTCGATGATAGATGAGTGGGACTGAGTGAGAATGAGTATCAAGGCGAATTCAGCTGCAGGCTGCGGCAGCATATACTAGCATCTATATATGACTGCCATGTCGCGATAAGCCCCGTCCCCGGCCAAGCGATGCCCGAGCAGCAGTGGCACTAGCACGCATGTGCATGGTTGGTCCTCCATCAAATGCCTCCGTTGGCATGTGCGTGACTCCACTGACTACCGCGTTGTACTAATTCCAGTACTGATCATAGGCTAGCCCCATACTTGCGAGTGCAAGCTTGCAAAGCATTCTATCCCATTTAAAGGGAAGCCTGATATGCGCCGCCATCCGGGCAGTAATGTCAACATTCGGGCTAACACGTTGTGACAAATGTGCGTAGTGATCCCTCACCAAGGACAATCCGTTTTCGATCATGGTTATGACGTCGTCCATTGTATTGTCCGGAAATAACTCCTGTTGTAAAGAACATCAGTCATGAACCGGTAATTGTCGATGAGACTTACGCCGCGGGCTGTGAGATTTGGGTCTAGTGTGTCTATATCAATTGGTCCGTTGCCTCGCACCCAAACCTAAAAGCGCACACTTGAGACTGCGCACCAAGGGTGCCCTTCGACTACATCACTAGGTACGTCCAGTGATGGCGATCCGGAGCGATTGGAAAGGAAGGTAGTGCAAGAACGAACACTCGCCTCCGTACGTAGATTCTGCCATGCCCTGCTCTGGTGTTCGGGTGCACTGTAGGGGATCCTTTCATCAATCACGGCTATGATGAGCATTAGGATATCTGGGAATGCCTTGACTGTATCCTTGAGCCTCCGGAGTAGATCAGCCCTGGGCTGCAATACGGTCACGTCACCGATGACAGGGACGGTTGACATGGGGGGACCGGTGATGGTAGTTACCATATGAGCGATATCAGGAATGAGTTTCAGTGCTCCTGCATTCATGATTAAGTTCGTGTGCGAATCAGAATTCAACAAGTTTCTGAAAATAAGATCCAGGAGAATGCGATTCATCTGTTCCAGTCCCGAGCTGATAACTCTTAGTACAGTTTCATGGACGGGTGAGGGCATTTCAACGAAGAGTACGGGAGTGTCGTGGTTGTATGTCCATCTAGATGAACTATGTGTTATAATTCGCGAGAAATTATCCTAATCTGCTTACCTTGGTTTTGCAAGCAAGTCTTCGATGATACACGATATACGAGCATAGTCCTTTTCTAAAATGTCTGACACAATGATCAAGTGAGTGATCGTTGATGTGATCCATCGTTAACGCGCACTACACAGTCTTTCTCACAATTCAACTGTGTGATGAACCGAAGCACCTTGCGACATCGGCCTTGAAAAGCGTATACGATTAGTTTGACCGACGAGTATGGGTTGATGCAAACCTGTTACGGCGGGTAAGTTACAACCAGCCTCTTCGCTAAGAAAATAGTTCGAGGGATGTGGGGAGTAACCCCTGACTGCGGCTGTACTAGAAGTGGACATGATGATATCCTGAAGCTAACCTGAAGCTTGAAGGCCCTTTTGACAAACGGCAAGCTCAAGAATTGGCGCGGTGACGGTGCACGGCGCTCGATGGACAGCGCCGATGATCGAACATTTTTCACATGGCTGGAACCAAAGGAGTGCGTATTTCCTCATAGCCAGATCTGCATATGAATGTTCGATTATTTGACAATGATGGGCTACCAAGCTGTGCTTAGCGCATATCGTGAACTTCTGTCTCAGTCACCATGACCAGCTACGAAAACAATATTATGCGGTCGGGATCCTTTTCGGAATGATCATCTCAGAATTTAACCAAATCGAGATGGAACTGGTCAGGAAGCTTGATTCGCTCTTCATGTCCTAGCAAAAGGGCGACGACATCTCTCGCGTATTCTTTATTGCACAGCTGCGGCACTTGTTTGAGTCATCCAAGGTTGACGATCAGCTTAGGGAGCGTGTCTCTACTTTCCTTGACTCGGTAGATGCCTTCCTCAAGCTTCTTCTTAATACTCGCAAACTCCCTGTAAGCGAAGAGTTTGCTGACAGCGAAACGGTGACGTTGATGTCGGACAAGTATGCCGTATCGTTCTAGGAGAAGAAGCTCGAGGATTTATAGGTGGGTGATGTCGCTCCGAGAGCCTCGGACGTTTATGGCGTCAAGGTGGGGAGCAGCTGTAATGAACTCTTACTGGTTGACAGCCTCTAAAGGGTCCGAGTGGAACGGGTTGTAGCCTTGGGGATGCAGAAAAATTTCCCGGTGTTTTTGAAATGACACAGTCAATTCAGGACTTGCGCAAATATTGATGATTTGTATGCCATGAATATACGTCCTCTGGTGAATATAGAGAACTGAAATGATAAAGTTGAGCACCCTCGCCCAGATAGAAGACCGGTTCGCCCCAAATTCATAGACTAGCATGTCACCGATTGGTCCCCGACTCCGCGCAAAATCTGCGATGTCACGGTGAAAAGGCTTGACATGGCCGATAAAAGGTGTACAATTATGTGGCGCCGAGTCTTCTGACGAAACCGTTCTGCCCGGGTTGTTCAAGTATGACTTCTCTTTATCAACTCGACACTTTTCTGATCTTTTCTGATACGTGTGCGCTCAGCCGATCATGATGTCGGATGGGTCCGCTACACGCAATCTGCCTATTAATGAACAAGTACTGGCAACTGAGTACTGACCCACCGCATCCGATGATCGTCGCTCAAAGTGACAATATTATTAATGGACGTTTCTGATATCGTTCGTCCGTTGCTATCATTGACCATGATAAGTACCATTGTTGGCACCAATACTTATCATTAATAGGAGTACGTCCATCCGTCGTCATGACCAAATCATTGTCGAAGCACTTTAAGCGCAGTTAATCAGAAATGATGTACCGAGCAAGCTGCTGCGGAACTTTGTCTGGATGGGTCGAGAGAATACGGGATACAGTGTACGGAGGTGTATGACCGGTGAAAATCTGCCTTTCGCGCTCGGAAACCCGCGGTACTCGGCCGAGGTCGATTCTCCATCATCAATTCCTTGTGACCCCCAATGGGCGATTCCGAGTCTTTTGTACATACAGTCGCCGCTCACAGCGCCGCCGCGTTTGTACCGTTGCGGCTGGTTGCCGAATTGCATACAAAGAGAGATCGTGATCATCATATTGCATATTCTTCTTATCTCCTCTGACAGTTTCCTGTGGTGCATGGACTTGGACTGCAGCTATGCACATATCGGATTTATTATTCCTGTCACGCATGGAAACACATAGACTGCACAAAGAAGCACATCTTAGATTTCGCCGTCGTGAATGCCGTCAGAAGGCGCATACGCATTCTTGATATAGTAAACGTGCTTTTCTTGGTGATCGTGCGGTCTTTACGCGGTCCATTCAACCTGGCATCCTCGACAGTGAGTGTGAGTGCCTATCATGTATTGGTCAATGATTAGTGAGCCAGTTCTTCCTTAAATTACAGCTGTCCGAGTGATTCCTCCTTCTAACAAGCTGTCGAATTGCTCATTCACCTGCTCCTCATAAAATGACAGCTGCAATCACCGACTGGTGGTAATTCCACCCACGCAGCTCCGCCACCTTGGCCTTCGAAGCTCCACCGGCACGCTTTTCGCTGGATGTTTATTCGAATAGGAGACGCTTATTGACCCACCACTCTATGTAGGTATGTTGATGAGGGTCTGGCACGGTGGCACCCATGAAGACAAGTTCAACGACGATGCTGCCGATCTCAAGCACCGTAATTTACACGTATCGTCCGGGGTGGGAGTACGGCTCTTGGCTCCTGTATAGATCACTACAGTAGCCTAGTGCCGTATTCTTCATTCTGTTAGCGGCGTACATCCCATGACATCCTAGAGAAATACCCCCGTGTTGACATATTTGCGTCGGTGTAACTCCGTAAGTAACTCTGGGCGAAAGATCCTCTGTTCGCGGCCTGATCGACAGTTGGCGGTACCTTGCCCGACATGTGCCTTGAGAAATAAGAACAAAGACGCCAATCCAGTGTAGCTATGTATATCAAATCAACGGATCACAAGCTAAACCATATCGCGCAACAAAAAGGCACCAACATCCACATCTTTAATTTCTCCAAGCAGATCATGACATCTGTGATAGACGCTACACTGGACAGTTCGTACTAGCCGAGCGGTAAAATGCAGTCCATAGACAAGACGCAGGAAAACAGTGTATCGTATTAAGGGCGGTCAGCGCACGAAAATATAAACCACAGTTCAAAAACCAGCACCCTTTCCCTGCATCATCATCAAAAAAACAACTAGACATAACAAATAAACAAAAAAGAGCGACGGGGACGAACAAGGCAGTATTCACAAGTCCGCAACGAAGCAAATGCGGCGAAATTTGTTTGGTGCGGCTTACTACTCGTTTGCAACCTGTTTATGCGCGTGTGAGTAAGGAGAGATTATGGTTATAGGAGAACGTACTCTGAGTACACGGTTGTGTTGACCGTAATCGTTATCGTCGTCGTAACTCAAACGCCGGGGAGCATCATCGTGGAAATCCTCTCCTTCTAAAGGATTGTGAGACTGAGCAGGGGGTGCTTCATGAGGATTGGGAAAGGGAAGACCAGGGCTCTGCGGAGGGGGATTACTAACGAAGCCAGTGTAGGCATCCGCGAACTGGGAATCATTGCGCGGAGGCGAGTGATATGCAGGCTGGAGGGCCATGGGGTAGTTCTCGTTCGACGGGTGCCCCTGCGAACGCATACTCCCATGCGTCTGTTGGGTATATTCCGAAGGCCTGCGGTTAATAAATGCTCCATTATTCGCACCGGCCATAGCCGCAGCCCCAGTCCCAGCCAGACCGGCAGCTTCGAGTATGTCTGTCCCACGGGGTCTGAATCTCATGCTGGCGTTGCGATCCATTGTTTCATGTGGCTGTGGACCAGGACCTGCGAAAGCGTTGTATGGGTTCCTGCGGCTCGGCTCGCGAGCGAGGTTGCCTGCGCCAACACCAGCGATGCCTGGAGCACGCTGGGTTTCACTGTCTTGTCGGCTCCGAGCCCTTCCCACGTTGCCAGCTGTAGCGAGAGAAACTGCTCCGGCAGCGTATGGATCATACTGCGACATTTCACTCATCCCATAGGTGTCAATGGGAAGACCCATCGGAGCCTGAACAAACGTGCCATGAGTGGTATCGGAGTAAGGATATCCGCCGCCGCCGCCGCCACCACCACCTGCACCGCCATTGTTAGAGTACGTGTAATCATCGAACGGCGAATGTGAAGTGGCAGCAGCTTCTGCGGCTGCTTCCGCGAACGTCCCTATCAAATTTCCGAGCACGACGACGACGAACGGCGTTCGTCACAATTGCGACGAAGATCGCAACAACGATGAGACCCACGACGGTGAACACACCAGCTACAGCCCCAGTGTTCGAGAAAAACCTTTTAAGCGGTGATGTGAAATTTTACGGAAGCACAATTTTATGATCGGACTCACGAGTTGGAGGAAGTGGCGGTATTATTAGATGAAGTGGTGGTCACAGTGGGTGTTACATAGCTGTAGCTGGTAATTACGCTACCACCGCTGTCTGTTGTTGTGACGGGTGAGAGAGTAGGAGTGGCTGATGTCGAGGTTGTTGAACTTGTGCTAGTAGTGATCGGGGTGGAGCTACTGGACAGGGAGGATGTAGTGCTTGACGAGGTCGAAGTGGTTGTTTGTGTCTGGGACGAGGTTGAGGAAGAGGAGGAGGTACTAGTAGTAGTAGGAGTAGTAGAAGTACTGGTCGAGGTCGGCGTAGTACTAGTGCTGGTAGTTGTAGGCGAAGTTGACGTAGTCGTCGTCACCAAGGGGGTATTGCTGCGCAAGAACAACGTCAGAGTTCCAGCGGATCATTTAAATTGAAAAAGATGTGCTCACCTGGAAGTTACAGTAGTTACTGGTAAGGTAGGTAATGAAACTGCGTGAGTGATGTCTGTTGAAGTGCACGAATTTCAACCAGATCATGAACTTACCAGACATTTCGGTATCTCTCAAGCTAAAGCTAAATGAGCGACAATTGCTTCAACTTAGGTATCAAGGTATCAACCTGCTGTCGGGGTTGACTATAACAGCAAGATCGAGTGGTAGAACGTCGTGGTCAACGAGCAACACGATTCGTCCGCATGAGAATTTTTATCTTAGAGTCGTCAGTTGATTGCGCTACCACGCCTTTGTTGTTTCCCCCCTTATGTAAGCCGGCCCCAAAGGCGTTAGGTGGGAGACACGTAGCACGAGGCAGCCCTTGGCCAACCCATGAAAACCCGTGCAATACATACTAACCCACATGCGATGATACACGCACATGCAACATGAACTATCAATACAATCACCCTCAATCCCGTTTTCGCTTTTTCTGTCGCGGTGCGTCCTCCTGCTCGTCCTCTTCGGAATCCGAACTCCCATCCGATTCCTGTTCCAACGGTGCACTTTTTAAGCCTTTCATCTTCCGGGTCTGGAGCTTGCTGAGATCCTGCTTGGCAACATGCACCCGTCCCCTCAAATCTCCCATTTCGTCCACTTCCATATTTTTCTTCTTCTTTCCAAGACCCTTCTCCAAATCTGTTTTCTTCAACTTTGGTCGTCTCATAGCGGCTTTCCACACCTCCGGGTCTGCGTCTTGATGACGTCTTAATGATAAATCAAGGAAGGGGCCCATCTCCGTTAACTCGACTCGTGGTACACGCGTTCCCGACGGAAGAAGTTTTATGGTATACGTCCGGATATGGACTTTTGGTAGATTTTGGACGTCGTCTTCTTGGGATGAGCCTAGAATGGGATTTGGAGCTTGGAGTGAGGGAGCAGGCGCGAGGCTGACGCTGATGACGTGCTCCAATCCTGGTAGACATATCGATTCGATGACTTCACCGTTGAAGAAATCCATGAGCAGAGATTTGAGTTGAATGAATCGTGGATGGGTATCAAATAGCTCTGATGCGAAGTGCATCATGGGTTTATGTCCTGGTGTTGATTTTGGTGTCTACGATGCATAATAAATTAGATTGCAGGGTAAAGAAAAGAGAGAATTACTTTAAATTCTGCCATGCTAACGAACTTGTCTACTCCGAGTTCGCACATGTCCAGTACTTTCGAATCGAATGTACGTGCAATGACAAGACCTGCAGGTCTCTTCTTCGTAGATTGGCCCATGAGGAACATGGATGCATCATTTTTGCTCGCCCAAAATTCAAGGGACGAAGCGTCCTCAAAAGGCCGGATCGTGTTTTTCTTTGAGAACGAGATTGCGTTAGGTCGTTTCAGTGCCATCTAAATAATGATTAGCGCAAGATCAACGCCTTTCGACCGAAACATACCAGCTCTTGCATGACACCGTTCACAATCTCTCCCGTATGAGTTCCCTTGACAAATATCGCAGTCCTCACATCCTCGACCTCCTTTGCCTCCCTCGCGTCCAAAGCCCGCTTCGACCTCGCATTGCGTGGTTTTCTACAACACACCAACCGGATCAGTAAAAACCCAACCCAGAAATGATGGGACTTACACCGTTCTCAGCATACTAGTACTCACACCAAAAACACAGAACGTAGGCCACGGTGGAATTTTCCAGCCGTCCGATCACCTTCCAATCTAGGAAACCCAAAAACATTATTATGCCTTGTTTACCTTTCATCCAAATCGGTATATGTTTCCTCCGTTCCTTGAATCTTTTATTACGGTCCCGCGAACCTCGACCTGACGTACGGCAGCTACGCTCCACGCAATGTGCCTTTTCATAATGAACACATACATACTCTTCGACTTCGTCGCAACATCATGTCAGGTCTCAGCGCTAGTAAGAACCTCGCCTCCCGATGGAGTCCCATCAAAAAGCACCGCAGAATACCAGAAAATCGTTCACAGGCGCATAAGCCGGTGGCGTCCACAGTTCAACACATGACTGCCGGTCTTTCTCACAAGAGAGCAAGAGCCATCAGATGCCGATGGATCTCCAGTTCCGTGGTCTTTGATGGCTAGAATGAGCGTGTAGATGATGGCGAAACGCCGTTTTGAGCCTTTTGGTTCTCAGGGAAAGATCGCCATGTCTTCAAGTTGTCAATATCACCCGAGTCCAACCAAAGATACGGCAGTCACTCGTCACATTCAACGGCGGTGGCGGTTTCAATGGGTGTATTTACTTGGGATATACGACAGAAATTAGGAAAACAACAGAGTGCTACCGTATCAGTACATACAACTTCCCGAAACCCAACCGAAAGGTATCAACAGTATACAGAAAACCGAGATTAAAAAGAGAATGGTATAGGTGAGTGCGAAGATATAACGATGAAATACGTGTACTAGGGGGATTGGGGTTCGAGTCGCACCGACCGAGCATGCAGAGGAAACACAAGATGAAAGGTAGTCGAGCTAAACAAACACCAATGTTCGTACCCACAATTACCAGGGATATAAAGGGGAAATGGTTTTAATTGTGTTACACTTTCATTCCAACTGCAGAGGAGGAGTACGGAGATGTAACTGGGGATTCCCTTCCTCGCCGAGATAATGCTGGAGGGGTTGACCCATTGGATGATGGGGATGACGAGTTTGATTGAATGCTGACGGATCGAGCAACGGTGGCGAAGGCAACGTTGTGTGGTTGGGATCGTGGGCTGCGTGATGTGTCTGATAAGGGTGAAGATGCGAAGGTTCCTCGGCTAGAGGAAAGTACTGCTGCTGATGCCGATGATAAGTCGTGCCGAAATTGTGGAGAAACTCTGCCCCCTCCGAGTGCCGCCGTGCCTGTGCTATACGCTGATGCTGGAGCTGTTGAAGCTGTTGGCGTCTGAGCTCCTGGGAGTAATGAGTAGCTTGAGATGGGTGTTCGATCGACGAGTGCGAGGGCAGATGCTGATGAGACGAGTCCTGATGCTGTAGTCGGGCGTGAAGCCGTTCCTGTTGCACCGTGTAAAAATGATCGAACTCCTGCATCTGCATCTGGCTCGTTGCAGAGTTCCAGGACGGAGAGCCTTCTAGATTGAGGGCGTGATTCTGACCCGTACTCGTACTCTCCAGGGCCTGAAAGGCCGCTGCTGGGTTCTCGACGTGGGACATCATCGTCTGATCCCTGGTATGGTCGTTTGCGTGGGTTGCCGGGTGGTGAATATGCGAAAGGGCCGCCAGATGAGACTGGTTCGGCGAGCGCCGGTGGGTGGAAGGAAAACGGTGAGTCATATGAAGCGCCTGTGGGAGATTGTGGTTCTGGATCGTATGAGACTGAGCCGTAGGAGGATGTGATGGATGGCGCTGCCATGTCGGTGCGTCCATAGACTGGAAGGGATAATTCTGTGACCAATCCAGGCCCTCCAGCGTAAGCAGGTTTTGTGGAGAGGATTGATGCGGGAGCTGTGCCTGGGCGATTGGCTGTGGAAGGTCTTCTGAAGGGTAAGGGAAGTACGTGCTGTGCTGATTGAGGTGCGAGGGAGAATGACTGGGATGGTGGTGGGGAGATTGTCGCGGAGACGACGGCAGCGAGTGGCGGGAGCGTTCTAGCATGTGAGTCTGTAGCACTTGAAGTTGGTGGCCTGCTTGAGCTAGATCCGGGCCGACCATCCCGTGAGAGACTGTCCCTAGAGGGGATACTGAAGTTGAATGTATTGGTGGTGAAGGACTGAAAGGACTGGGATTGCTGGTTCCAGTGATTTGAGGATGCAGGGGGGACACGAAAGGACTGGCTGGAATCACGAAAGGAATGGTTATTGTTGTTGTTGTTGTTGTTGTTGATATTGTTATTGTGGTGATTAATGTTTGTAGGGCGTGAATTGGTAGCACGATGATCCAAATCGGAATTCCAACCGTCACCGTAAATCATGTTGTCACCACCCTCGTAACCAGTGCTCGTACCGGGACGCTGGTGCATGGGGTGGAGAGAGGCAGACAAGTCCTCCTCCTTGACTTGATCGAGACCATGCATTGAAGTATCTTGAGATAGGGAGTGATTACTAGAAGCTAGTACAGCTGTAGTATTGACGGTGGCTTGACCTCTCTTGCCTCTTGGTTGACCGGTTTTATTTGCGGCAGCCATAGAAGCATGAAGAGAGGTAAGTTCACGCATCATACGCTCATTCTGTTCTTGCTTATCAGCGTGAACAGTTTGAGCATGCTGACGTAGATTATCTAGTCTTGAAAATTGCTTGCTGCAATGACAAGTAAAAGGGCGCTCGCCCGTATGTTTCCTGTTAGGAAATTAAAGAGATCGAACGGGGGTATGTGCCTCGGTACCTACCTAATGTGCCTGGCAAGATGCTCACTTCTACTGAAAACCATACGACATTCGCCATAACCTCTGCATTGAAAAGTTTTTGCAGGAGCAGGACGATATCGTTTATTTACGCCAGTTATACCAGCGGTAGTAGGTAGTAAAGAAGGATTATTTGGTGCAACGAGGGCAGCCATGTCGCCAGATGATGAAGCGGTAGGGGATAAGTCAGGTTGTTCTTCGTAAGATAAAAGATCTGAAGAATGAGGAGAAATTGAATGTGAAGTTGGAGAGTGCTTTAAATCGTGTTGACTAGTATCGACAGGTGAAGATTTTGAGTCCTCCATGGTTAAGGAAAAGAGGAACAAACTTTCTATAAAAAAGGTGCCTGAATAACCAGACGCTCAACTCAATTAAGGCACAGCAAAAATCGGACTCTGAATTTCTAACCGTTACTTTGGGTTACTAGGAACAGCCTCGCCGAACTACGGCACCGTTTTTATAAAAGATAACACACGTCACGCCGTAAAATAAATAACGTAACCCCCCCACGACCCTCTAACTCCTACCCACTCGCGGTCCTACATTTCATCCATGGAATTTGATTTACTAAGTCGTCCGCATCACTCCCGTCACATCGCCTGATCCGCTCCTTGTTCCCCGCTAGGATACTCGGGCCACATGCGTATCACAACTGGTCGGAATCCCCGCCCACGAGGTGGTGGTTTTTACATACACGTGTAGCTTAATCAAATCACAATGTTTATCCATGGCTATCTCACAATTACCTGTCCCGTATACCATCACACCGCGCCCATCAATTCAATTTCCTCAAAAACACAGCATACTACTCCTGACAGCATCTCTTTGGAAGCGAATAGTACTAATTAATCTTGCAAATTCCGATTATTCACAACACTCTCGCGCCGATAATGGCGGATAAGCAGGGAATTACCATTTCCTAACACGGTCAAACCCATGTTCCATCACGGTCCAGACCCTCGAAGCATACGATAACACTGCTTGCTCTAACCGCTAACATACGCGCGTTCGCCTCGGGTCAGCACAGCTGACCTCTTCCCGATCACTATTCACTCTTCATTACCCATTCCGCGAGGCACATAACCCAGGGAACCCTCCCCCAAGGGGCTAGGCGTCTGCAAAGTTTCTCTCGGACACAACAAAACTAAAACTAACGATCGACGCTTACGAAAACAAGTGCCTGGGAAATCAACCTAACTTACGTACCCCGCACTTCAAAATAGAATTTGCACAGATGCAAGTGGAAGGTATTGTCGAGATTAACCACATGAATAGCTTGCGGATATCCCAGACAATATCGGAGAAGGGAGGCTCCCGCTCCCGCTCCTTCTACCCACAATATATTCGCTGACCTGTCGTGAGTGTCAAACCTACATCAAAGCTTATCACGTAAACCACGGAACAGAATCGCATCACATCGCATCAATACACAGAAAAAATAATAATGAACGTCAACATACATCACAACTCTCGGCGAGAAAATGTCAAAAGCCCATCCGAGCCATTCCGCCCAGCCAACCTAGCAATGCTATGTATAGGCTTTCATGCGGACAATAACCACGCCACGCCAAGCCAAGAGGTCCAGCCCCCCTTGGAACCAGTAAGCATCGCCCGCAACTGTCGTAAGTCCGAACGTCACTCAGCTAATCATGACATCGGATGCTTCCTTCTTGAAAGAGCGCGCGAGAGTGACGAAAACTTTGCATTGGATACCCAGGCTGGGTTTAATTCTGAATATATGTTATATTCCACGGAGCGCCAAGATCATGATGTGGTATACGCGATAGATTGCGGGTCATATCCACCATCTACGCGTTTCGCCGCAGCTTAGGCTGTCTCAACGTATGAGTCTGTGCAAGTAAACTCCGTCAATGGTCATGGGATGTTTTATTGTCGCTGCAAGAGACCTCGCATCCTCAGATACGCGCACAATGCCATAACACAACGCGGATCATCTATGACACGGAAGGATCATTCTGACAATAAAAGAAGACAACATGTACCGCGCGGCCGTGTGTGGGACACAAACTATCGTTGACGCGTCAAATTACACGTGACTGAATCAAGAAAAACTAATACTAACAGTGTTTCCCTTGCCTTGTATCTAGATCTTCATATGATTGGACAGACGCATCGGGAGAGATTACGTCTGGGTGATATCAGAACCTAGTGTCTGGTATCGGAGTAGTATCTGCGCGAGGGGGGCCCGGACGTTCAGAAATGGCATAGTTGCAAAACCGACTCGATACCAAATTTCAACCCGTCCGTTCGAGCTTTAATCCCGGAGGGAAATGTTTCCGACCAGGTGTGGTTCCTCGAAGCTTGAATACTTCCTTCCCTATTCCCTATTCCCCAGTAGAGCGATAGCCTCCTCGGGTGACAAACCCCGCTCCTCCTTGGCTTTTTACTTTACCTGAATGATGAATGTAAACGTTAGATCTTGATTTGTTCATTTTGAAATTCGACATACATGCATAGCCAATCGCAACTCTGATAAATTGCATCATCGCCCGGGCGGACTCAGGGAGGGTCGAGCGCGCGCTCATCTATGACATTGCCAACCCGTTCACAGGCTGTCCTTTCATCGTTAGCTTTAGACTGTCTAGAACAGAAAAAAAAATGTTCTGCTCGAAAAAAACAAATGCTCATTGAATGTCAATGGACAAGCGGCGTTTACCGCGCCACCGCCCGAATTCATCGTGTCTTTTTGTGCTTGAAATATCAAATCGACGATACGACAGGTACTTACTAGTACCCTACTAAGTGATACCGTGGTTGGAGGGTCGCAATAATCAATTGTCGTACGTTCCTGGCGGTAATGGGACGGAGACGGTACTGAACCTCCGTTGATGCGAGAGTGAAAATCCCGTCGTTGGAGCCTGAGTCCCGCCCTAGTCTCAGGAACGTCCCTTAAGCTGGGGAAAATGCCAGAATGGTCTAGGTTGGAATTGAATCTGAACTTGCTTTTGTGCTTTCATGTTGCATGCATCGTAACGCGTTTGCATAGTCCAGACGCTACTTGCGAGAGGTGAGAAGTATTCAGTATTGGATCAACTTTGATTTGATAAACTCATATAAAGTTTATACCTTGCAGGACGGCGTCCCGCACTTCGACCGACCCTCCAACGGATAGAGGTTTCTAACTCGAGAAACCAACATTTGCAACCTCCGACACCGCGACGCCCGTACATCCAAAACACGAATCCACCGTCCACAACTTGCGCCAAGTATCTGGAACTACCAGCACTGCCGGTACTAGGATGTAGGATCTATTCGGATGCGTTGACCTCTCCGTTGACAGATACGATGGATGTAGCATAGGCCTATCATATCTGTCAAAAAAAAACGTATGATTTCGATCATCTTCAAAAGGTTAGTTGCTATGCATTGACGGCTTACCACGTATGCACATTGCGCAACCTGATTAATGATTCTTTTTCATTGCCAGTCGCGGTGTCACCATTGCCTACGATGTCCATTAACATTAAGTAGCTATAGCCTGCTATCATACAAGATTCCCTCGGCCATATGAATGTTCACCGGTTGCCTGTAACTGTTATGGGTGACAGAACGTTGACCGGATCTGCCAAGTCAAAGACTAAAAGATTGAGACGAGCTCAAGAATGCAGGATATCTTGGACTCCGGTGTTGGTACTCGTGCTTCAGCCTAATGAAACAAGATGAAATTCGTGCCAGACTCAATCAGGGTTCTCCAAAAGATCCGCGGCTCGAATACTACATAATCCAACGTGCCGCTCATCGCAGTTCGACGCGTTCCCCCGGACCCTGCCCCACACACTAGTCCTACTATATGTAGGAATCAATAGAAGCCGACGTTGCTCCGCTATTGGATGTTACAGGATGTTACCCGTGAATCACGGTGGACCACTATCCAGCCTCGATTTCCCGGAAATCAAATCAAGTGGTTCGGTGCCGTTAGAACGCCTTGCAATGTCGGAATTGCGTGCACTGTGAGTGCCACTCATGATCAACGTTGCAGCCTGGGCCCTGCACAACTCAAGCAGTAACCCAGACACCGCATGGCATTAATACTTATGTCAACAACCTTGCTTGGATCTGAGTTGGAATAGGTAAGTTCGAAGTCAATATACTTAATCTGCCTGGCTCATGCTGTGTTCTGACAGGCTGATCGAAACCATGGTTCTGGCTGGTATCCTTCTCGTGCAGGGTACGTGCAGATGTAAATGTTGTCAACGAAACTAGTCGTTGCTCGATGATTCTAACCAGGCCTCTTCTGGACGCAAGAGACAACCCGGGCATCAACGACCACGACATTTGTTCGACAGCACAAAGGAATTGAAAGGATGCTACCAGATGCTACCCTATGCTAGCGTGACAAGTCAGCTCAACTGTTATATGATACATTAATTAACGACCTGCCTTTTTATCTGCTAATAAGTACGTGCAACTGAGGCCAGGGAAAGGCTATCCCGGCGACCCAACTCGGTGGTTGATTGGCTGTTGTAAACGTAATATGTATCGAGAACTAGCTTCGACGCAGCATGATGAGGAATTCATCTTGACACATGAGCCTATCTCACTCTATCTCAGTGTACAACCCTCGAGTTACTTTTCCCCTTCTTGCTCAACTTCGTGATCATCACCAGCTTGGTGCATTTCGGGAAGGGTAGGCGGTGTTTTCACCCATTGGTCTGATCACTGATGTACATTAATGTCACGAAGTGTCACAGGAGGTCGTGTGATGGTCAAGTTGCTCAGTTGGCCTAGACCCTGAAAGATGGCCGTGATGGGAAAATTGTACCCGTGATCACTGGAATTGAGATCACAAACATTGATCTGATTGAACCACTGTTTCCTTCTTTCCTCCGTCGTCTCTTCCTTTCTTGCTTACTCTGCACTTGAGCCATCTCGATCTTCTTTTCACTCAAATGATGCTGAGATGGTTCGAACCTGAGATATTTGTAGCATAGATCGAGTGTAGATAACCAAATACAGCAGGGTTCTTCGCAGACATGCCACAAAGACGAAAGACCGGCGCTTCGGAAAGCTTATAAACAACCACCAGCATCAAGTGAGATGAGCATTAGAGCCGCACAGTCGGACAACTTGTGGACGGAAACACCATTGGTCTATTCCAGCCATATTTCGGATATCATCGGATGTTCTGCCTATCTGAAGCTTGAGGTGCGATAGACATTTGGACCACGTGTGACTCATCGAACAGGCGCACCTCGTACAGAATTTACAACCTTCCCAATCGTTCAAATATCGAGGCATCTCTAAATTCGCGCAACAATGCAAGGAGAAACATGGCCCCTCGGTGCATCTGATGATTGCCTCGGGCGGAAATGCAGGTCTGGCTGCGGCAGTTGCAGCACGTGCTTTGGGAGTGAAATGCACGGTGTTCCTTCCAATCAATATAAGTAACGAAACGCAACAGGCTCTCCGAAAGCATGGTGCAGACGTTGTAACAATTGGGGAGGTCTACTCCCAAACACTGGCCGCGCTCCGAGATGCCGTGAAGAAGGAGATAAATGGGTGAGTGGAAGACTCACCTACCACTTACAGCGATCTAACCCCATCTTAGCGTTCTGGTGCCAGCATATGACTCGCCGGTATGCTGGGATGGACATTCGTCCATGGTGACCGAGATGCAGAAACAACTTCCGAGGCAACCAGATGCCATATTCTGCAGTGTCGGTGGGGGAGGCCTTATCGGAGGCATCATACAAGGTTGCAAGAACGTCGGGTGGGATGAAGGTAATTGAAATTCTGAACCGCACACCCACGCCTCTAAGTCGCACTTGATGAAAGTGCCGATCGTGGCGCTCGAAACTACTGGCTCCAACTGCTTCTACAACGCCATCGCCATCAATACCCAGGACTTCACTTCCAAGGTCCCTATCATACCCTCCACTGAAGTAGAGGACAGTTCTCCCTATACCATTGAAATCGTCGGTGAATACAACGTTGCTATACCGCACATGAAATCACTGAAATCGCGAGCCGCATCTCTCGGTGCGACCTCACCAGCTGCTGGCGTGGTTAGAATGGCAGTCGATCGTGCTGGAGGAATAAAATGCGTGTGCGTCTCAGATGAGATGGCCATGCGCACTGCAAGATTATTTGGAGGTGAGTCTCCGTGCGATGTTAAACGCTATGCTAACGCAATAACCACTTTGCCAGACGATCACAAAATGCTGACGGAACTCGCTTGTTCGACAACTTTGACTCCTGGATACAACCGCGAGTTTCTCTCGCACATCCTCGGGCCAAAGTTTTCGGCGCTTTCTCCAGAAGAGAGGAAGGAGAAGTGCCTCGTTTTCGTTGTATGCGGTGGAGTCAAAATCTCTTTTGAGGAGATGAGGGAATTCGAAGAGATTGTCGCGGCGGCACAGGTGGAAAACTCTTGGCGCGTGCAAATTGACGGTGAAGAGATTCAGGTGCCTAAGCAATGAGACTGGAACATGGATTGAAACAGATACATTGATACAATACGGAGAGCCCGGATGAAGTAAATGCATGCATTTGGGAAGAAGCAAGGGAAACCTACCAACTACAAGTGACTTGTAAATGCCACGCGTAATGAGAACTTCAGACGACATACCACTACCATGCACTACCACCATTTGAACCACCCGTTTGAACTCTGCACAACTACTTCTGACTGAGTTTGAAGTTCTTTCTCCCGCTCCATTCGTCGCGCAAGTTTTCCCGCCTTTATTCTTGCCAACTCTTCTCGGACGGCAGTTTGATCTGTTGGTATTTTCTGCATGGGTCGTAAACGCACTGAGAGCATCACATTAAGCCAAGAAAACTCACGCTGTGTGTCCTATCCGAGGCCGGGAATAGATGATCCTTATACTGGTGATAATTGTCAATGATGGATTCGTCTACAAGCAAAAGTTGGACCCACGGGAAGGACGTGGTGATGGTACCAAGCAGGATCACCGAAATGAAGCAAGGCCATGACGGGAACGAACAAGTATAGACCAAATTTAAAAACTTCAAGATTTGGACCACCCATGGCAAATGTTTAATGCAGGGGATGTGCGTTTACTCCCAATTTACTGTCACATAGAAACGATCACGTGACTCAAAAAAAGTCGCGTTCCAACTTCCTACTCGTATTGTCCGCTAGTTCAAACTCACTGGAGCATCTTCTACAGACCTACAGGGTGACCACAGACTGGAACGAACATGGCGCGGAAAGAGGGTGAAGATGAACAGAACCAAGTCCAGCGGAAGCCCCGAGGAACGCGTCCCAGCATCGATCGGTTTCCTCTTGGAGTTGGTCGTCCTGATACCTCCCATGTAGGTAAGACTTGAACAAGCGAACAAGCAAATAATGTTCCTACATATTTGGCCTGCTTACGCAACTTCCAGCCTCTCGGGCTGCCCCAGTCGACCCTCCTTTCCCACTACAGAGCAAACAGCAAAGCAAACAATGCTCCTCCATATTTGATCTGTTTACGCAACCTCCAGCCTCTCGGGCTGCCCCAGTCGACCCTCCTTTCCCACTACAGAGCAAACAGCAGAAACGCCAACTTACCCCAGAGCTCGAGCCCACAAAGCAAGCGGCCAAACGTGCACGAACCGAAACCCATGTTCCTCGCAATCATGAACGGTTTTGGCTACCAGACGGAAATTGTATCCTTGAATTCGACAGTATCCGCTTCAGGGTGCATCAATCGTGGCTTGCGCAGCATTCAAAAAACATTGCAGGTCTGCTCGCCAAGAAAGGTATTAAACTTGAAGTGATTACACTTGAACCAAGTGAGTGTCGATTCAATCTCAAAGCAGTAGATTTTGAGGCGCTGCTTTTGCTATATGAAAACCCTGGGTAAGTATCTACTCACATCTGGACCTTGTATTGTGCTGGCTAACGAATGGGTTAGGAATTACCGCAACACCATCGAACCTCTCATTCTGATGTCCCTCATTCGCGCGGCGTCATGGCTTGGTTTTGACTCCGACTTTGAATGGCTCGTGAAGGAGCTAGAAGCTTTCTGGCCATCCAACCTTAAAGAACTATCTGCCAACCCAGTGCCGCGCCGCGATGCTTCGGAGGTGGTTGCCCTTGCACGAATGTGCAACATTGATGGGCTGTTGAAGCCTGCATTCTACGATATGGCAAGGACACCCGGATTCGGTCTGAACGAACTCAAGGAACCAGAGCAAATCAGCCATGCGGACATGCTGCGCCTTGTACGGATGAGAGTATCTGAGTGACATATGGCTAAAGGTAGTTGTGCGCGAGGATCCTCATCTAGTCTGCCAAAACCTCCGTGGTGCACTATCCGGGAATGCCAAAGGAACCTCAGGTCTTTCGGAAAATACTGACAAGAAACCTCCACTCGGCTCTACCTCCCCTGCTAGTGTGGCTAGCAAGTGCCTTTTGGAGACTGTGAGACGCGAGGCGTGGATTCGGCTCGTGTACGACTCAGATATTTTCACCTTGTATCAGCACGACCCACTGTGCGGACTAGAAGCTTTAATAAACCTTCAGTGGACGAATGAGTGGTGCAGAGATTGTAAGGATGCAATGCGGGCTGATTGGCGTACAGTGCAGAAGAGTATTTGGGAGAAGATCGACGAGTATTTGAAGGAAGATTGACCAGCAGATCGGATGTTGCAGTAAGTTACCTCACTCGCAAGGTTTCTTGCTCCCCCAATAATTCAAGTTTTCACTCAGACAAGAAGCATCGCGCACCATTTTATCTCGCTAGAGTTGCGCGGGGCCAGCGTTCATGGCAGTCCAGGATTCTTTGTGGTACAGGTTCTGAAATTTAGTCTACAAGTTTTATTACACTTATTAATATCGTAGCGGCGCTTGGCTGCGCCAGTCCCCTACTCCTACGGCAGGCCGCAGTAGTAATGCTGGTCATATCAGAACATCATCTCTGAGATTGATGATTCTTCTTCGCAGAACAAACTGAAAGATACCAAGTTGATGCATAGTCTCGCTGAGTAACTAGGTCCCGCGTCTTGAGGGTAACCGTCTATCATATATCTTATGTTGACATGTCATCGATTTATCACTGGTATGCGGTTATTACCATTGACATGATGGCTATCACAAAATAGGAGTAAGTACTAGCGCTAGTCAGACACGATCGCGCGACTTTCCATCCTGCGATTGATTAGCCCCATCGTAACTAATTACTTATCTCGTCTGCTAAGTCAAACCCGGTTTGATCACTGCACTCATCTTCTCCCGACCTGAAGCTTGAAGGGCGACCGCAGACCGTAGATCAACATGGCACGACGAGGGGATGAAAATATACATAATCTCCAAAGCAATCCGGGAGATTCAGAAGTCTCGAGGAACGTGATCCAGCGCTCGGCCTCTCCGTTGGAGTAGCCCTGAAAGCTCCGACGCAGGTAAGACTCATAGAACGCAAACCAGCGAACAATGCTCCTACATATGTGCACTACTCACGCGACTTTAGTTCCCGCCGCTTCACGCGACCCAGCCCAGAGCACAATGCGCAAACGCCAGCTTACGCCAGGGCCCGAGCCCGCAAAAAAAAAGAACTGAACGCGCACGAGCCGACAACCTTGCTGAGCAACTTCAAAAGCATGAGCGGTTTTGGCTAGCAGATGGAAATGCTGTCATTGAACTTGAGGGTATACACCAATACGATTCATTACGATCTATTCATCGAGGTTCATCGTCAATGAACCGTCCCCAATATCTGTAACACAGTGGAAACATTACCTCAGGCTGTACGATGCAGAGATGTGTTTAGCAGTATTATCGAGATCGCCAATGAGAAACGATCAAGTTATTAGGTGAACTTCGGCATCCCAACTACGGCAAAACATTTACTCACCTCGGGCGAGACAGACAAGTTGGACATGGTGCAACGCCAATACGATTCGTTACGATCTGTTCATCGAAGTTCACCGTCAACCGACCATCATAAATATGTGTGACAGAATGGAAAAATTACCTCAGAGAGGTGCAGTCCAAACGACATTTTTATATGTAGGACACTCAAACCGGAGACTCGCGACTAGTATTCGACGATAGATTATTCGAGAAGGGATGGAAAGCCTCCAGTCAGCCGTTCATTCGCATGTAGCACAAAACTGGACAAGGTAACTACCATCATCGTGTGTATGCCTCGTGCCACCACAGATAGAAGCAGACAGCATCGAACAAGATCTCAAGACTCGTCGTGCTCGGATAGGAAAGAGAGGGAAATGAGATTTTGGAGGACTAACTTATCGTAATCCGGGCAGATTGGCTCGCTGCTGCCCATTGCCTGTGCAGATACGTGTTGGACAACGATTGTCATTCCAGACAGCGTCGAAGTCCTTACTTGCTTTGCTCTCGGATAATGTTGATAAAGCAGGCACACGATGGGCACACTCAAATTCATGCAAGACGTGTTGTCCAGTGCACTGCAGTGATGGGTCTGGGAGCTGGAATGCCGCTTACATAGAAGTTGAGAGGGCTCCAAAAACGCACGCGACGTGAGTGGGGCCCATGGGAAGGCAACACCGTGACGGACCCGGGGAAATGGAATAGTGAGACGGTCATGATCAAAACAACGCAAAAAAAATTGCCTGGTGCATGTTTGCTAGCTTGAAACTTTCAAGCATTTCCTCTTCCTCTCATTTTCTTCATCGCTGCATCATACAGCCCGCTCGCTCGTTTCCACAATTATCTCGCTCGCTCGCATATTTTCGCTCGCCCTCCATTCCCAGAATTTAATGCAATCTCGTCATAATATTTGCCTCGTACTTTGTTTATATATTCGAATACCCGTACACGAATACCCGCTACTAGCATAGTATATCAATATATCGTTTTTAATGGTCATTCAATCAGCCCGCATGTCGAGTTTTCCCGCCCACCCAGCGGCGATCTCGCCAGCGTTCGAACCGAGCTGATGCTCGGTCCCAGCCCAACCACTGTTTGTCTGACCTTCGATATAGATGCGATAGACGAAGCTGGGAGTGGCTGCTTGTGTTGTTCTAGCTCGCTACGCAGTGGTCACTGTTCGACCTATTACTCTTGTTCCCAATATCAGATGGAGTCCAACTACAAACTTCGGTGCCTTATGTTGGGCGAAAATCACGACCATATCTTCCCGGTCGACATTCGAGACACGCAGACCGTCGGGGACCTTAAAGACTTGATCAAGGAAAAGAAGAAGCCGGAATTTGATGATATTGCCGCTCATAGACTCCAGCTACAGCAGGTGAGTCATCTGATGCCTACGATTGGATGCTGATGATCTGATACTTTGGAAGGTCAACCTGCCTGTCGACGAGACGCTCAAAGACTGTCTTGACAATCTTACACCAGAGCAATTCTTACCATCTGTGACTCAATTGTCCAACCTGTTCGACGATCGACACATCAAAGAACGCCTGCATATCGTTGTCCAAGTTCAAAAGCCACCTGAGCCTGCCGGTGAGTTGTCTGTCAATATTGCCACTCTTTCCATCCATACTGATGGCGGTTTGATTAGGGTCTTCTAGACCGCTCCACCTTAAGCTCAACTGCCTTGTGTTGCGCGAACATCGCAACAATATCTTCTCGGTCTACATTCGAGACACGGAGAACGTCGCGGACCTTAAATACTTGATCAAGGAAAAGAAGAGGCCAGAATTTGATGATATTGCCGCTCATAGACTCAAGCTACAGCAGGTGAGTCATCTGATGCCTACGATTGGATGCTGATGTTCTGATACTTTAGAAGGTCAACCTGCCTGTCAACGAGACGCTCAAATACTGTCTTGACAATCTTACACCAGAGCAATTCTTATCACCTGTGACTAAATTGCTCAAAGTTTTTAAATATCGACCCGACGAAGAACACCTGCATATTGTTGTCCAATCGCCGCATACAGGTGAGTTGTTTGTCAGTTTGCCACCCATTCCTTGAACACTGATCAGCACCGCGTCTGGTTCTTAGTTCCTGTGGTGCCACAGATTTCAGTTGTTGGTCGACGATTGACTTATCTCCAGAAGAGCACAGGTCCTCCGTCAGCTGGTGCAAAATTGGCCACATTCTCTGCAACACAGGAGAAGGAAGAGTACCTTTGCAATCGTCCTCGCAGAGCCGCGGACTCTCTTCCAGTTACTCTTCTTGAACGTATCTTCGCCGAATTCGTGGATGATTGTCAAAATTATCAACCAACTGCCTACGATAACGACTTTGTTTTGCAACTTTCGGAAAATATGTCCTCCTTCTATCCCGATGAGCTCACGCGGATGAATGTATTCAGGTAACTGCTCTGCAACTACGGTATTCCACTCGAGGCTTCTATGATTGGCTCGACAAAATGTATGACAGACGGACATCTTTTGTCCCCCAACAGACAGTTTGTGCAGGTGATAATAGAGGGGAAGAACGAGATCGGAAGCGGCGGTGCCGAACCATTCGCGGAGGCAATGTTGCACTACCGGAAGTTTATGGAAAACTCGCAGATTGAGATAGTGAGGCTCCGGTCTGTGATTCCATGCATCCATATCATTGTGTTCGGTTAGTTCATTTGATCAAATTCATTGCTAAAGTGCTTTATTGACCACAACTAGGCGCCTGCATTGGCTTTGCTGGCTCTGTTTTCATCGAAAAGGTCCAATGTGATGTCCCATCATTCCTCTGTTTTGTCATATAACAGACCTCCCTATGCAAGTGATGGCGGCTCGTACTTTCGGAGCTCTGAAAATCGCCACCGAGAAACTCGGAAAGCTGTACTCCCAACCAATTCCCCTCCTCGAAGACGAAGATGCATCTCTAGGATGTCCTTATCCTCGGGATTATACCCATTCAGGAGATCACATTCAGCAATTCTCGTATGATGAAACTCAGAGCCTCAGGGATCGACTTATCTTCTTCGGGAAAACGGTCGGCGATGTGGCTGGGAGTGGGAGAAAGATATGTATCAAGTTCGTCAGGCACTATTCACGTGAGGCCCACGACTTCTGTGCGGGAAAAGGGCACGCTCCGAAACTTATCGCCTACAACACTTTAGCCGGTGGCTGGAATATGGTGGTTATGGATGTGCTTGATATTGATGATGGTCGCTCTGCGCAACGGCCTAGCTCATATCGATCGCTGAGTGCGATGGCTGTTTTGGACCGCCAGCCGCTGAAGGAGGCCATCTCATCTCTTATCAAGAAGTTACACGCTGACGGCTACGTTCATGGCGACCTTCGGGATATGAATTTCGTTGTGAGGGACAACAATAAAGACTTCATGCTGCTCGATTTCAATTGGGCTGGACTGACCGAAAAGGCCCATTATCCTATGTATGTTAATCGGAAGGATATTTGACGTCCTGGTGGTGCGTCGGATGGGGAGAAGATTATGGCGGAGCATGACTTGGATATGCTGAAACATCTATTTCATACTCAGGAAGATGGTCGGGAGATGGCTGCAAAGCGCCGCCGTATTTCTACTGGTGAAGAGTCGGCAATGGACATTCCATGATTCACGCAGATTGATTCATAATTTGTTGTACAAAAGTCCAATTTGGTTAATACCAGTCTGTTTTGTTTTTCATAAAGCTATCATACAGTGACTTTGAGAGAATAGTGACATAGATCAGTTTCCAAAGTTCCGTCGCATTTGCTGATCCCACCAGCCTCTGGCAGGAAGTTCCTGGTTGGTTGATAGAGGATGGTAGGATTGCCAGGCGGTTTGGCGGTAGGCTGGAACCCTAACCTATGCATCAAACGCTTCGAGTCTAGATAGCATATACATTTGACTCACCGAGGATGGTCCGTCACCTTTGTTTTGGTGTTTCACTCTGCTTGAGGTCTTGAGGCCTGGTTCGCCATTTCGCCATAGAGTACTACTTAGAACCTCCTGATCAAATCCGAGATGAGTTTATAAAGTTTACCGCGTGGAGTTGCGGCGGTCACTATGATTTTCCCAAATGTGACATGGCTGGATATATGTAGGTCAGCGCAAATTTACTTCCTTTGACACTTTCACCGCATCAGCCGAACAAGCTGGATATCCACAAAGCAAACCCTGGGGTCAACAAGGTCATAGTAGAGAAGTGCACCCATCCATAGTAGCATCATCCAAAGTCAGCTGAACATCTTTTAATTCTATCCCGTGGTCCACATCCATTTTTGTCGCAACATGTGTCTAGTGCCTTTCGATTCATAATCAAGATTCGATGCCCTTCCTCGACGCCCATTCCTGGGCTTTCTCAACTTGACTTTGTTAGCATATACACCCAAGCTTTTCCAGGCTTATGGTTCGCAAATTATTGTTCGGACGTGTCTTCTCGAAATCAAGGGACACCGACCGACCTCCAACACCCCTTCCAAAATCACCACCACTTTCTCCGATTAGCCTTGCCTTGCCTCTCCCCGTAGGCAGCAAGTTCAAGGAGGAAGCTGTATCCGCCATTTTTACAGCCACCGCTCCTACAGAAAGTCTTACAGGCTCAATCAGGTCGTATTCATCCCCCATGTCTCCAGAGTTCTCCCCGATATCATCCAATCCCAGTACTGTGGCTTCATTTGAGTTTCTGTCCCCGCTCTCCACAGTATGTCAGGATATCTGGAAAAATTCACGATTAGCTAACGTAAATTCTGTAAAGGGGGTTCGTCTGAGATTCGTTCTATAAAAAAAAAAGGAATCCTAAAAAGTCACGTGACGCCTTATTCTAGCCCAAGATGAACTCGAGAATTGCCGCCTGGTGGCAGTACTAGTACTATCTACAGTCTATGAGAAATGCTAAGTAAAACTAGAGCGGAAACACGAGAAAATACACTCGTAAAACATAGGCAAGCATATGTGAACGAAAATGATAGATTTGAGGGAGCTTGCATGTAAATTTACAAGTACGTGGCACCGGGCACATCCGCAGGGAGGGAGCCTGCCCAGAAGTTCGGAATTTACAAAATTTACAAAATTTACCGTGTATTTCTCACTGTCCCGCACTTTCCTCACTTTACTGACTCAAAATCACACTTTACTGGACTTTACATTAATGTATTGCACTCACACTCCCTTATCTCTACCTTCTCCTTCTCTCCCTCGAACTCATCCTACACAGCTGCCATAAACAGGTGCGGCTGTGTTCCAGTCACGTGACAGAGCTTTCCTCCGCTCTGAACCTTCTTCGTCACTGTCGTGCGCAACGCTGGAGGTGAATGCTGCCAACAACGCAACAACAACTCCCCTGGAGAAGAAATACTGTATGTCATTTTTTTTCCTCATGCTTCTCAGTACTCACATTATACAGGGCCTCTGGACTACTGCACTTCCA